CTGTCAAATGCTTAAGGGATGAAATCCTCCAAAAAAATGTGAAACGGTGGGGCTAGATAAATTAACCTCATTTATTGACTTTTGAAATTATAATTTTTAGCCACCGCAAAAGAAAGAGTCAACTCTAACATCTGTGCAATATGATGCCCTCAGCAATTAAATAGGATAACATCACGTTTCGGCTAAAACTGCAATTTACATATTGACTTGTTTTATTATTGATTTCAACTAACTTCAGTTAATCGCAAATTACACGATCACGAATATTTCTCTTTTTTCTAATTCCATCTTTTCTTAAAAAAGAAAAGAAAACAGAAAATACCAAACTAATCACAAGATAACAAAAAAAAAAAACTCCATAAAATTTCATAAAATCAAACAGCAGCAGCAAAAACTATCATCTTTTAAAGGAAGACATAAATCGTGACTCAATCAAAATAATCTTCCAGAAAAAAATAACAAACCGTATATACATATGTACGCGGGAATTGTCATGTCAGTGTGACTTGGCGGCATTATGAGCACTTTTGGCAACAGACCCAAACAACAGCCGAAAAAATGGTTCAAACCACGGGAGAGATCACTTTTCTAACCATCTCATTATTTGACCATATTTTCAAATGGAGAATGGAGAAAATTTAAATTCGTGCAAAAGAGAGTATGGCTTTTTCATACAGATATATACCGCAGTGAAGATCATCTACGTAATAATAGAGAATAATATTTTAGGGTGACCAGTTGAGATTGAAGTAATGACACAATATATATTCCTAAACATATAGACACTTTGATAAATAGAAAAAGTAGAATGGTTGTTCACTCCTGCAGGTCCGAAGTTTTTATTACCTTTATCGCCCACCTTGGTGAACATTCAAAATGCCTCTGTGAAGACCCTAATATGTAAATATAAATTTCTTTGGATTTTCCAAACCAAACCTGCTAGAACCTTTAAAATGCCGAAAATGAACGTGACTTTTATATTAGGGCTAGGTCAAAACATGAACCTATATTGATTCCTTTATTAAGCCTGAGGCTGAATTACAAATCCTTCATTTTCAAAAAAAAACTTTAAATTGGGGATATATCAAATCGTGGACCGATATATACCATTACAAATACAACACATCTTAAAAGTAGTAGTAATGTAATTTAAGGCTATCTTTAAGTAAATAATTTATATTAGCTTCGTTGATATCACAATAGGCCACCTTTTCTATGCAACTGCTTAAATACAATTTTCATTGAAAACAATGACTCTCTAACTCATTACTAGTAAGCTCTCACATTTTATCTCCAACTCTCTGATGTCTCTTTTGGCAGCAAACAAATACGAAGATTCAGCCATCCTTTTAACAATTGTGCCGCTCTGTTCAATTTGCTGCTGCTGCTTCTTCTTCATTTCTGACCATTTATTACGACAATTGCAGAAATATTGTTGTTGGTGTTGTTGTTATTGTTGCCAGTGGACGCGTACTTATGGAGTAAGCTGAGTACCCATTACGGACCAAACAAATAGCGTTGGTCTGTTTAACGGCTATGCTGTAATACGTGCTGAGTGTGCGGTAATTTTTTCACTATGCGGTTTTTCTGCTTGCTCGTTTGTATGGCTGGCCGACTGACTGTTGCGTTTGTTACTTTGAACTGTAATTGCTTTGGCCAGAGTCACAGACACACAATGACTACATGTAATGCCTCTTCGCACTCGCAAGCACAACGTCACATCAATACAATGACAATCAGCAATGATGATGATTTGATGAAGAAGTGTCAAAGATGTAATGGGTTATAAAATAAGTGTTTGGTTTAATGTTTTGAAGGTTTAATTAATATTATTTTGTAAGGAAAAATTTCTTTCACGATCAAAAGTTTTTTTTCGACGTTTAGATTTGTAAAGAAAAGTGTCAATGACTTAATTAGTCTAATAGCCTAGACAGACGACAACCTTAATTTGCATTAACAGCCGTAATTCAAATTCATTTTTTTGCTCAATTTTATGTGTTTTTAATGCACAAAATAAAACTGAATTTATACTGAATTAAGCAATTTCAATATGGCAATGCTGTAGAAAATAAATTGATTGTTGTCAAATTTGTTTACGTTTACGAAAATAAAAATTAGAAATAAAGGCAAAATTCAACATTTCTTCAAATTTGGACCTGTTTTATCTTCATTATAGCTGTTACTTTTCCTTCCTGTCATGTATCAATTTCAAAAAAATGTAATCCTAAAAAATATTGTAAACAAATGTCAATATTTTCTTCCTACACACAGACAAACAATAGTTTTGAAACCAAAAGCTGGTTCATAAATGCAGAAACTCTCGTCTGTCAGGGGTAAATATTAATTCAAATCAAGAACTTTTTAATGCAAATTAAGGTTGTCGTCTGTCTATGGTATAAAATTGACTGACATATTCGAAGAATCGATTTCTGATAATAACCGAACGCAACTCAGTGAATTCCCCTCAACCATTTAGTGAATTCGTATGTCCTTCCACCGGAACGCCCACTTATTCTCTATCAAAACTCAATGGATATTCCGTCATGTCTCTCTGTCGATGTTACGAAAGAAATTTTTAGTATTTTGTAAAAACGAAGTAGATGTAATTTGACTTGAAGATTTCATTATAGTAAATATTCAATAGAGATCCATGTATTAAAATACGTCGCATAGAAAGATACAGGCACATTTTTGTCGTTTTGATTTTCTAAATGTTACTACTAGTCATTTCTGAAGATGAAAGAATTCCTGACAGAAAATGTTCTATATAGTTTCAAGTTTTGAAATGCTGTCCCATTTTCTAATAAAAAAGGACATTCTGACAGAAAAATTTCAAGGTTGGTGCTGCTTTTTAAATAACCCCTATATAAGAGACCTGTGTGGTTTGTAGCAATTTGAAGGCCTGTATTGTATTATACACCACCATAATATATATTCCTCAATAATATTAGTAGGATACCTACATTTAAGCAGCAAACTCACTTTGCAACAATAACAACTAGACACATAGACTTTAATTAACAACCATGAGAACAGTGTCGAAATATGGGAAAGTAATTTTCCGAGTGTCTTTTTTCAATTTATCAGTTTTTACTTGACGTCGTTTAGTTGGTCAAAGCCAGAGCACCCCTGAACGACACTGAAGGTGTAGAATAAAATTCTGTGTCATTCAGTGACCGACGACGTTTGGTCGTCGTTCAATGAACGACAATAATAAACATTGAACTATGTCATTCACTCGTTCAGTGGACTGACTCGTTCAATCGAACTAGGTCGTTCACGAACGACACAAGACTAGTTCGCTTCTATATAACTCTTCATGTTTCAGAATTAGTTTTACCGGGCCCTATCCATTCCTACAACCCGAACCAATTGTCATAACCCGAGCCAACTACTACAAACCAAGACGACTTCTACAAACTGATCCGACTATTATCCGCACCGATTGATATAACCCTAGCCGACTCCTACACACAGACTTCTACTACTCGAGCCGACTACTATAATCCGCACCGATTGCGGTTGTCACAACACGGTCCAACTACTTCAACTTGCACAACCAGCGATTACAGCCACTAGATATACCTCCATCAGCCCAACGGAACGAGTTCCAACGTAGCGGAAACGATAACCAAAGAATCTAACCAGAGCCCCATGGAACGGTACTCGCCATTATTCGGTATTATGGCTATAGCTTAGTATTTTCAATCCTAATTTTGTATCAAATCGTTCTACCAAAAATTACACTGTGCGACAAATTTGAATTTTTTTTGATAATTACCGGGAAATTCCAACAGATTATGAAAGAGGGGCTAAAAAAGAAGACACGTGTATCGACGTTTTGAAAGTTTACGTCGGGAGGTAACTTAAAAAGGGGGCCCAATATTCCCCCTTTTCAAGAATTTTAATAATTTTCGAATTATGATTTCTTGAAATCCTTGCATTTTAGGTATATAGTGTCTTCGGCAATATTACTGATAAAATATCGAGGAATATTTTGGTATGCAATTTTAACCCTCAACCGATTCATAAACGAGGTCTTTTTGGTCCCCTTTTCCAATGTCTTTGAAAAAAATATATAAGTGTTATCAACATGGGTTCAGCTTATAATGTAGTCCCCATTGTGTAAAACTTATATTAGTATGGTATACCCCTATAAATAACAGCAAAAAACACCTCAATAATATTGTACAAGTATTAGTTGTTACTGTAATTTCATTGGTCATGTTGCTGTCAAGAGACAAACATTGTTTACATACAAAAACAATCCCCAAAGTCCACTGTTGAAAAAAATCTCCAAAAAATTTTCATGCAACCCAGTGATGAGATTGCCGTTTTTTGCAATGTTGGTAAACTAAATTGTAATACAGCCTACGGCCATGGCGTCAGCAGATCGACAGCAGCAACGACTAAAACGAAAAAAAAGTACTGCGACATCGCCTTTTCTCCACCAAAGAAGATGATTTGGACCTGAACGAACTAAGTCAGCTAAGCTATTGTCTTTTTTATATTTCTCCCTGTAACAATGATTGTTCGTGTGTGTGTGTGTGTGTGAACCTTCTCCCATCTCCGAAATTGGCGGGAGAGAGAGTCACAACTGAAAGAAGTCACAAGCTCAAACTCATCCAAATCTAAAAAATAACAGCTGTGTCTGCAGTGGCATGCATACGAATTTGAAACTGAAACTGTTGTAGACAAACTCTGGGCAACAAAGGTGAGTTCCATTGGTTTTTGGTATAAATGGATGATGCGGCAGCTGGAGACCGCCAGTAAACCATACGATTTAGTTTAATAAACACCAAAACACAAATCGCAACCTAAAGACGCGAATCAGAACTTTCCATTTTTTCCAACCCCTATCTTTTTTGCTTTTAACAACCACACAAATTGGTCGGTCGGAGATTTAGTAGTTCGGAGCACAGACACAGGATTACCATTTTACATCAAGTCTGTGTGAGATACACTAATCCTAATATAACGGTTTGATTGTTCTGCGAAAGATCGAGGAAAACCTAGAGGCCAAAATGAAGGGATTTATTTTAATGTCATGCTTGGCTCTGGCTGCCGCCAGACCAGAAGCTGGTTATGCTTACAATAGACCCGGTGGAAGCGGTGGAGGCGGCGGTTTTGGTGGAAGCTCGGGAGGAGGGGGCTTTGGCGGTGGTGGCTTCGGTGGAGGTGGTTCTGTAGGTTTTGGTGGTGGCGGTTCTGGAGGCTTTGGAGGTGGCTCTAGTGGCGGTTTCGGAGGTAGCGGCGGATTCGGAGGAGGATCAGGTGGCGGTTTTGGAGGTGGTTCCGGTGGAGGTTTCGGAGGCGGTAAGTTTTAAATTCCAATCGGAATTGCTCGGTCTATTTGAATAGGAATTTAATCCAAATGTTTATTTTCTTATAATTTTAGGATCTGGTGGTGGATTCGGCGGTGGTGGTTCAATTGGCGGCTTTGGTGGAGGTGGTGGCGGTGGAACCACGTTGGTGCAAAAACACATTTATGTTCATGTTCCACCACCAGAGCCTGAGGAATCTCGTCCTCGTCCCAACATTCCCGTTGGACAGGCCCAAAAGCACTACAAGATTATTTTCATTAAGGCTCCATCACCTCCATCTTACCAAGCTCCCGTTATTCCGGTGCAACCACAAAACGAAGAGAAGACATTGGTCTACGTGTTGGTCAAGAAACCCGACGACCAACAGGATATTGTCATTCCTACTCCTGCTCCAACTCAGCCTTCCAAACCCGAAGTCTACTTCATCAAATACAAGACCCAAAAGGATGGCGGCAGCGGTGGTGGTTCCGGCTCAGGTGGTTATGACAGCGGCATTGGTGGAGGTAGTGGAGGCGGCAGCGGCGGATATGATTTGGGCGGTGGCTCTGGCGGCAGCGGTGGTAGCGGCGGCGGTGCTCCATCAACCAATTACGGTCCTCCTGGTAAATCTGGTCCTTACTAAGATCGATCAGATGCTGACCAAGGTGGAAAAGTTAAAGTTATCACACATATGACCACTGACATGTTGTTGTTAGAAAAGCGCAATCGACATTAACGCTATCGACTACTAGTCCTACTAGACAAACCAGACCACTCAAAAATCAAATTATTGACTTTTGACCTCTCGGACGAGACCAACAAACCAATCAATTCATACGACGCTGTGACTTTTTCCAAATAAAATAAAACTACAATTAGGACAAAAAGTTCTAAAAAAATCCTCTAACCATTGGGTTGGAGAAGTGGACTTCTCCCACGAATCTGAGAACCTAATAATGTAACTGACCTTGTACACACATGACGAACTGTGGTTATCCCGCTCATCACAACAAAATACTCATCCTCTTGTATATAAGCCATGTTTTTTTTTGTTTCTACATCCTCAACTTGTGATCTGTCTATATCGCTATTTGTAGAGTTCTCTTGGACTGCCTATGGTCCGGACTATCAAGCTATCCTGTCTATCTCTATTGTTGTTAGATTAAGGATGTCTGCTTTGGAGATTTTATTATTAAGTAGCTGATAATTTTGTTTTCATTATTATTTTTTGAATGTTTGTTTAAACGAAATCTCCCAGGTGGGCGCGTTATGTTAAATTGTTTATTAATTAATTGTATTAATTTGTTAAGTACTTTTATTATGCACAATAAAAAACGACGGTGACAAAATTCGAAAAACACACATACCCGCTCTAATTGTTATTCACTATGGGAATGGCAGCGAGGAAAACCACTTGAAATTTTAATTGAAATAACATGTCACGGCAACACTTCGGATATATCACGCAAAGCTTGCAGATTGGGATTTAAATCAAATCAGATTTATATCTCCTCCCCCGCCAGCAGTTTGTCTAGTCAGCGGGAATAATAATTACGTTCAAAGTTTTTTTTCTTTCTTTCTTCAAATTTGTGTGAATTAGAAGAAATAAAAAAAAAACGATTGATGATATGGTTTTTTTTATTGAAAATATAGCTGGTATTATTTTTCTGATTGTCAATTAAATGGCATTAATATGTAAATGCGCTGCCATAATTTATACAAATACTTCATAATGCAAAATAAAATAATATTCGTTTGAAATTTTTGTTATTAGATGGCAATTTTATGGAAAGAATTCGTATTGATATCTGAAATAGGAAATTCAATGTGTGTTATAAGAAATGACCATTAACATTATCGCCAATTTTCTACATTCTACATATTTATAAGAACATTATTTCATCAAATCATTGAACGTGTGACCTAATTAATGCATTAGTTCATTTCGGGTTCCCGCCAGGGAATTTCTGAAATGGATGGTGACTGGAGATGAGAAAGTGATCACATACGAAAACGATCGTGGTCCAAGAATTGTGAAGCACAACAAATGGTGGCCAAACCAGGACTAATGGCCAGGAAGGTTCTGCTACGCATTTGGTGGGACTGGAAGGGGATTATAATTTATTGCGAAGTTGCTTCGAATTATATGGCCAAACGCTAAATTTTCATTTTAGGGGGGTTACCACATACGATATACAGAGTTTTTTCAATTGGACCGTTTGAAGATAGCAATTGACCAGAAACGGCCAGAATTGGCCAACGGGAGAGGTGTCGTATTCCATTAGGTCAACGCTAGGCCACACACATTTACAGTGACTCGTATGATATTATAAAATTAACTTTTAGAAAAATTTTGACAATTTGTAGGGACGTAGCAGAAAGAGTGGTCTGATATTCTTCTTTTTCAAGCTTAATTTAGGCCTGGAAGAAATATGTGCAAACTTTGGACTAAATCGGCAAATTATTTCGAGAGTTATTTTGCGAAATCCTTGCTTTTTTGGTTTAATAGTGACTTTGGCAATATGATATAAATGATATAAATGTAAGGAATATTTTTGCTTTATACGTTAACCCTCACTCGGCTCTATAAAGGAGTCTTTTTGGTCTCATTTTCCAGAAATGATTGAAAACTCATTAGAAACGGCGTTACAGCAGGTCAGAATATTTTATAAAAATTTTCGCCATAAATTTTGCAATAATTCTCAGAATAGACCAAAACTGGAAAATTAGCCTTCTTCGTTTTAGAAGAATGGTGTAAAGGACAAAAATATTCTCCATCAAATTTTAGTGTAAGCCACTGAACAAGAGAATTTATATTTTATTTAAATTGATTTGGAAAGGTTTTCTTCACCAGAAACCCTAAATTTTCCGGTATGAGTCACCTTCGTAAAATTAGGTATACATATAACATCCGTAAATCTAGTGTTAGGGATATGTCAAACCTAGAGGCATATTAACATTTTTTTCTGTAAATAAATGGTACGGGAGCTTTATATGGAACTAGTTAAAAAAGGGCCTATACTGACAATTACCTGAGAAGAAAATTTTTTCCATCAAGTCACTTCGGTTAAAAAGATGCCTACATTGAAACTTTTCAAATATATGTTTTATAAGTCTTTTTTACCCTTCAAGAAGCCGGAATACTAACTTACAGTTATTTAGGTTAAGGTATGCCTTAAAAACATTTGTAATACCGAAAACGGTGCAGTACCATTATATGGTACCTTTATAAATTCCATCTTCAGTACCAAATGGGCTATTATCTTGCACTATCATTAATAGAGGGGTATATCGACCTGAAATGTTATTTTTATATATACTTTATGGGGATATCAAAGAGGTGTTCCAAATAAGTTTAAAAAATTCAATATGCAGGTGTTTTAAACATGTTGACAAATTTGTATGACGCAGAGAATAAAAAACACGCCATCTTCAACCAATTTGTACCTTTTTGTCCACGTAAATTAAATTTTAAAGCCAATATCTTCGGATGTTTCCAAGAACAGTTCATTTAATCCGAAGCTATTCAAATTGGATGGCGTACTATAACAATTCACTAGTTGGAAACAGTTGAATCTCGACTTCAGCTATTTTAAATATTTACCAATATCCAAGAATATTAGTTTGTGAATAAAAATTGTTATTGCACAATTTTTTCCAATATACATATATTGTTGCGGTTTCTTTTTTGATTAAGGCACCACATTTGGACTAAATTATATGCGTAGTTACTAGTAAATATTACTGCTAAATATTATTAAATTAAATCACAATATTTTTTTTTCTTGCAGGTAAGACTGCTGATCATCTCTACTGAACAATTGAATAACTAACTGGTAACTGCACATATGTATGTATGTACGAGTACACAATCGAATTTTTAAACAATTATTTAAACTTTATTTGATTAGAGTGCTGCTACCTTAAGAGGAATAAAAACATAAAACCAATTTACATACAAAAATACACATATCATTAAATCGCCAATATTCTACTAAATTTAGCGCATCGGCTTTAAAACAATCATAATCTACGCTACGCTATGAATAGCGAATAACTTTGATTTGTTTGTATTTTAGTGCATATTTTATTGCCAGCAAATTTCCATAAGCAATAAAATTTAATGGTTTATTCTTGTAAAGAGATTGCCGCGAACTGCTGTTGTGGCTGCGGCTGGAAGCGTCGATTTTGGCAAAACATTACTTTCAATTTCGTATTCTTTTGATTGGCTAGGAAATTGTTGCATGTTACGCAAATAACCAGTACCCACTGATAATTAGTTGCAATATCAAATCCTAATCCTATCACATAGCTGGATAGTTGGTGGTGGTGGTTGTTGTCCTCTGACAATATCTGCCAAACACCTCATCTTTTGTGTTACGCGAACCTTTGTTCGTTCATGCAATCGCCATGAGCCAAGCGAGTCATCATCGCGGTAGACAAACAGGTAGAAGAAGTCACCGGACAGCAGCCACCAACAATATTAGCATCCAAGGCAGTCAGTCAGTCAGCCCCACAGACAGACAGCCAGCCAACCAGCCATCTAGTCAGCGAGGCAGTCAAACGAACAATCAACCCACCAACAGCTGCTGCTCATCTGCATTGGTATGTATGTCGTATGCTGTATTACATGCGAATTTGTAATGATGTTCACGAAAGCTTAGCGTTGAGGTTGAACTTCGACAATTTTTTGGGGTATAAATGGATGAGACGCCTAGTTGAGATTGTCAGTAAACCATTTGATTTAGTTTAATACACATCCAACATCGCAACTAAAAGACGCGAAACTTTCAATTTTCCAACCCCCTCTATTTAAGACTCTTTGCTTATATCCAAAGTCGCTGAAGAGTGAGAGAAGTGCTGAACACAGATTAACAAGGATTACCAGAAAGTTAAATCTGTGCCCGACTAGAATCCGTAGAACGTTCTTAAAAACGACAAAAAGCGAACAACTGAAATGAAAGCCTTTATTTTAATGTCATGTTTGGCCTTGGCTGCTGCCAGGCCCGAAGCCGGATACGCTTACAATAGACCCGGTGGTAGCGGTGGTGGTGGCGGAGGTTTCGGTGGTAGTGGAGGTTTCGGCGGCGGTAGTGGAGGTTTCAGTGGCGGTAGTGGAGGTTTCGGTGGCGGCAGTTCTGGTGGATTTGGTGGTGGTGGCTTCGGTGGCGGTGGAAGCGGCGGTTTCGGTGGTGGTTCTGGCGGCGGTGGATTCGGTGGCGGTGCTGGTGGTGGATTCGGTGGTGGTAAGGAAACAAAATAATTTTTAGGAATTTTATAGAGGCGAATTTTAACAAATCTCAAACCATCGTCACAGGATCTGGTGGTGGTTTCGGAGGTGGCGGTGCCATTGGTGGATTTGGCGGCGGTGGTGGTGCTGGTACTACTTTGGTACAAAAGCATGTATATGTCCACGTGGCTCCCGAGGAGCCAGAAGAATCTCGTCCACGACCAAATATTCCACTTGGTCAAGCCCAGAAACACTACAAAATCATTTTCATTAAGGCACCATCTGCTCCTTCGTATCAAGCTCCCGTCATTCCTGTACAACCTCAAAACGAAGAAAAGACATTGGTCTACGTGTTGGTCAAGAAACCAGAAGACCAACAGGATATTGTCATTCCCACACCTGCTCCAACTCAGCCCTCCAAACCCGAAGTATACTTCATCAAATACAAGACCCAGAAGGAGGGTGGTGGTGGAGGTATTGGTGGTGGAGCTGGTGGTATTGGCGGCGGCATTGGTGGTGGTGCTGGCGGAATTGGTGGCGGTATTGGCGGAGGTAGCGGTGGTATTGGTGGAGGCATTGGCGGCGGCAGTGGTGGTGGCATTGGAGGTGGTATTGGCGGCGGTAGCGGCGGTGGTGCTCCCTCAACTAACTATGGCCCACCTGGCAAATCTGGCCCATACTAAGTTAACCAAATCGCTAGCCAAATGGGATTATTTTTTACCAATCATATGACCACTGACATTTGACGTGACACAAATTTATTTAATTGCTACTGTCCACTAGTCTCCACAGTTGAATATTGTTTTCCGATTATTGAGATTCAACTGCCAACCAAAAAAAATTGAAAAACTGGGACAAATGGCAATGACTTTAACAAAAATCATTCTCTACACTCCAGTGGAGAATGGTGTATTTCCCTCAAAAATGTTTAACATTTTTAAGGGAATTACAAAACAAAAAGAAACTTTCGTTGTAATATTTTTTTACACTAAAAAAGAACGATCTGTGGTTATACTTCTCTTACCTACTACTTTTGTATATAAGCCATATTTCCCTAACATAAATCTACTTCTCTGGCTCATTCTGTCTGTCGCTATCCTATCCGTTGACCTTCCTTTGAACTGTTTGTATATATCTGTCTGTATACAACTGTGTATTGCCTCTCTCTCTGTGGCAATTCTCATTATTTTTTAGTTTAAGTCTGTCCATCATGGAGATCACCTACTGATCTTTAAACTGAAATCTCCATGTGGACTTGTTATGTTTAAATTGTTTATTGTTTAATTTTATTATTTTGTTAAGAATTTTTAATATGCATAATAAAAAAATTACGGTGACAAAATTAAATAAAAAGTTGTTGGAAATTATTTGTAATGTATCGGAAGTAATATTGAAGAGGATGATTGCTGAATGAAAAAATTAATTTCCGCCTTGGGTAACAAAATAATAAGGAAAACATTTTTTGTCACGCATTGTAGCCACCTTTTCTAACTTAAGTTTGGAAACATTGCACCAACTTTGGGACTTTGGTGCACCATTTACATTTAATCGGACGAAAATATATATATGGAAGCTATATATAAATTTGAACCAATTTTTTCCAATTTCAAATGGGTTCGTCCTTGCCAAATTTCATCCAATTCGGATCATAAATGCGACCTGTACTTTGTTTACAATTTAACATAGACAGACGGACAGACGGACGAACATGCATAAATCGACTCAACAAGTTATTCTATGCATATTCCCATTCCTTTTGCCTGTTACAAACATATGCACAAAGACATAACACCCTGTACCACAGCGTGATGAAGGGTATAAAAATGGAAACCGATCATCACCTAAGGATAAGTTTTTTTCCACGCAGAAACCTCAGAAGTGCCAACAGGATACAGAGCGGATATTCTTCATGCTATATTACTCCCATTGTAATGAAAATACATTTGGTACAACTTTATTTTTTCAGCCAACGTAAAATATTTTCTTTGACAATTTAACATAGAGGTTTTAAAGTTCGTCAAAGAATATTTGCTTTGAAAATTAATATAGGTTTCAAAGAACTAGAAATTTTAATTATAATCATAGTCTTTTCGGATCGATTTCGGAATGTTACACCCATGATAACTTCCCAGTCGAGATCAGGTTAGGTATTCGTGGCGGGAAATATGTAAGAACATGGCTAAGAAGAACAAAAATTGTTGTATGACAAATATACGAAGGCTTCTAAGAATGATATCCCCGGATTCTCTGCTAAATCCGAAACCTCCAAATGAAATCTAAGAAAATATATCAGCAGTAACATAACATGGACACACCGACACATTAGTTGTGGTCTTGCACTCAAATAAGTACCAATCACGCTGAATATACTGCAAAACAGCGTCTATCAAGTATTTTTTAAACTTATTCCGATAATTACACTGTGCTACACAAAAAATAATTATCGGGAAATTCCAAATAAAATATCATAGAGGAGCTAAAAATAGAAATATATCGAAATCCTTGCATTATAGGTATGGTGTCTTTCGCAATCTTACTGATAAAAAATGCGAAATACGTTAACCCTCAGTCGACTCTCTGAAGTGTTTTTTTGGTCTCCTTTCCAGAAAAGGGTTTATAGCAGGTCAGATTTATCTACAAAAATGTTCGCCATAAAGTTTTACTATAAGTCTCAGAAAAGGCCAAAGCTCGAAAATGGGCCAAAAAGCTAAAAATTTAGGGTTAAATCCAATATTATTCTCAATTTGTACCAATTTTTCGGACTAGATGTCATTTTCAAAAAATGGTATAAGTGACACAAATAATCTCCATCAAAATTTAATATAAGTCATTGAAGAAAAGAAATCGGTATATAATATATATAACGAATATATAGAAGTCAACTTAAGACAACAAACTAAAGAAAAAAAAATATTACAAAAAAAATTTTAAAGAAATTTCCCAGCTTTTTTCATAAGAATAACATGAATCTTCATTTTCAAATTGCACTATGAGTCTCAATACAAACTTAATATCTAATTTCAATAGTTTTTTAGAAATCGGCAGTATACAATTAACAATATTGGCGAACAATTCTTTGTTGACTTCAGTAAGTGTTAACTCAACACATTGCAGAAATGTGTCAAAATCTGTAATAAGACTTCATCCTAGGAGTATTTGGTCAAAGACAAAATTATTCTACAACGAATTTCACTATCAGCTACAAATGAAACGATTTTTGTAAACTCTATATATATTAGTAAAACATTATATATAATTTGCGTATATACAGCAAATTTTCTATTTTGAACAAATATTGAACTTTTTCCAAAAAAATGGAAACTACCCCAATTGTGTATCATATACAGCCAAATTTCGTTTAAATTAGTGTAATAAAATATATTGATTTAATTATATGAAATTATTTCGGCAAATGAATTGGAATAAAGTTTAGATTAAGGATGGAATTTGGTATAATTTAAAAATGTTCATATTTTCGTGATCTACATTCCAATTTGTTCTCAAATTTAATGGAGCAGTGACAGTATGCTCCGTTCAAATTACAAACCAAAAAATAAAGCATTAATTTGGTATTCAGGAAAATTATTCGAATTCGAAAATAAACTAATTTATATTAATTGCCATAAAAATATATATTTATTTATATACGCTTTCATATCATTTCAATGCGAATATTCCATTAAAAGATAAACATAAATATCAGTTCATATCATTTTTTTTCTTTCCAACAACTACAGTCTAACTCTCATAATTTGTTTCAATGTTATGAGAATCTTAATAAGATTTTGTTGCATTTTCTGAAAATGACACCACATCCTTGCTTCGTTTTACTCAATGTCTGCCTGCATCTGTGAAATATCCCTCGAGATACAATTCTACTGTAGCCCCTTTAACGTTGTTTAAAGTGGCAAACAACAGTTACCACCACAATTGCATCAACATGCCTAGGTATCCGGAATCTATACGATGCATCGCATCTAGTATCTATTCAAGGAAGTTAAATAACGAAACTTTTAGGAAAAATTGTAGAAGACAAAAAAACAAAAACGAAAACCAACCTAATTCAGCTGAAACGACAGATGATGCAGGCTGTTGTGTGCTTAGCGAAAATATTGCAGTGTGGGGCACGATGGATGAGCACAGCCCTGGCAGCAGCGAGAGCGACCACGACCAACGTAATAGTAATGCCACAGCAACTTGTTAAAAAATAAGAAATAAAATAAAAAAATTATCTTGGGAATTTTCAGTCAAATCCAAAAATAACTTTATCCATTTACAATGGGAGTCATCATCCAAGGAGAGAGAGAAGAAAAAACAGCTTCAAGCCAAATTGTCAACACAAAGATGAAGAAGAAGGAGAGTCAACCAAAAGACCAACCAACAACCAGCCACTGGGGATGTCGATTGTATATTTAGAAATTTGTATTGTTGCCATTAAATCGCTATGGTCTTTGAATTTTAATATTTGAAAATCATTTGAATTGAAACAAAATTTCAATATCGATTTAAATATCCATAATTGAATTTGTTCCTCACACACATTCAAGAATTCAAATGTATTACCTCAACAACCCATGTCGACATCTCTGATGATGCATTTAAGCCCCAAAATGCACACGAAAGTAGAAAAAAGTGAAAGTGATAAAGGAATAAATAAATAAAAATAACTTTAAGGTGTAAACGAAACTGCAACTGCAAACCGAACAATAAAAACCATCGCCAACATGCATCCCAAGAAGATGTGTTAGATCGGTCGCATAAAACCCAGTCTTGCAGTAGGAACGATGTCCATTGTGTGCAATGAATGGAGATATTAAGAAAAAAAACGCCTTTAGCAGTCTGCGAAAAAAAGAAAATACAACGACTCGAAACGATGTCATGAACATAAAGCTAAATTTCCATTATTGATGACAACGACCACTAGGAAACCGAAAAACTCAAAGAAAAATATTTGGAAGTATTTTGTGTGCAATTGCCGGGGAATTGTATATACTCTACACAATTTCGTACGAGGGTTTTAGTTGTAAGGTTACTTTATGGTAAAATAAATAGGGCTTTAAGTTCCAAGGTAAAATGAAAACTATAAATACTATATGGAAAGTGCGCTATGGACCCTTATATTCAGAATTTACTATTTATCCTCTGAAATTAATAATGCCAAAAATAAGTAAAAAGGTGCCGACTGATATATTCCCTCGGCTTACGTTGATCTACGGAATTACACACTGAGTTTAAAATAAAGACACAATGGAAACAGAACTAATCACAATCGAGTGAGTGGAGAGACGGTGGTTTTTAGCAAAAGAAGCAGTTGAAATACTAACAACCGCCTAGTGAAGGGAGAGGATGAGAATCACTGCTGAACAATGCGTTTTTACAATAGTTTTTGTCAAAAAGGGAGAACGAGGACGAAAGGGACCCTTTATAGGAGTTTGCTAATCTTTCCTAAAATTTTGTAGCCCTAGACAACATTGGGACCATCATACGGACTCGTGGAAGTCCGCAACTACCTTGATTTTCGCGATCTTAATTGGACGAGAGTTTTACAAACTGACGTCTCTTCGAATGCCAATGACCCATTCTGGTAGACAACAATATAAAATATAGAATGACAACATTCATGCGTTCAGTTTTTTCAAAAAAATTCGAATGTTTTCCATCACGTTGAGTGATATGTTGCACTTTACATTGAACACGTCTGTATGTTTTATTGCATAAAAGCTTTCTGATTGACACAGACAACTGCGATGTCAA